CTATATGTGCATGCTTGCCCGTTTGTACGGTTCAGTTGGGTTCGGCACGCGACTCTTTAATTAATGCGGAGGTATTAAGTGTGATTAAGCGGACAACAGCCGCTCTCGTTATCGCAGTTTCAGTTACAATTTGACGATCTCATGTGCAGAACAATTTTCAGAATTCCATTCCAATAAGTTGTGTTAATTATAGTACAAGGTCTTACATTGGAAATTAAACTGGCCCCTTTCACTCACTATTTCTCAGAATTCAACAAAGCCGAATCAATGTCGCAGGCAATTCCTGCTAATTGTGTGGGAGTTTTCGTAAAACGCATTTAAATCAGAACAATTATAAGTAGCTCTTTTCCGAGGAAAAACCATGGATATTAAGCACAAAATTGATTTTCCTATACATTTCAATAAGAACAATTATAAGTAGCTCTTTTCCAAGGAAAAACCATTAAAATGATACACAAAATTGATTTAGATATCCTTTTAAATCAGAACAATTATACGTAGCTCTATTGCAAAGAAAAACAATTTAAACCAACCCAAAATTCCTTTTTGTATGTCCTTTGTCCTTTAATGTAAACAATTTGAGTAAACTATTATAAACAAACGAGAAAACAATTACAGCAATTTCGTTCAACACAAATAAATTCAAATAACAAATTATGAAATTAATATACGCGTATTTATAAAATAAATAAAAATATATATGTACTTGTATATTGCAACAAAAACATGTTTGGATTGATAACTTTTCTACACGAAACTACTTTTCTGCGCCAGTAACACAACTTTTGAATTAAGTTTAAATTTCCTCAAAGTGTTGTTACAAATAATACATTAGTTAGGCAGACATGCTATTAGTTTGAATCAAAACTACTTTCCTACAACTCTAACATTTCCCACAACATGTACAAGTCTGTGTGCAAATAATTTTCTCTTTTCTAAATGGTGCAATTGGTAATTATTTGCCTGTCTGAGCACGGCGCCAAATTTACATAGAAATGTTTTCACATTTAGTTCAAAATTGGGTTCCTACAATATTCCAAAAAATAATCAGTAATAATAATAATAAAAAATAAGTAAAAGTTTGTGTCCAATAACATGCTTGTTGGAACCGCGAAACAATTATTTTTTTAAACTTATCTCCAACGACTACTTTTCTTTAACATTATATATCTTTGGAATAAAATATGCACTAGTAAGACGCCAGGGCTTTTACATTTGACTATTTAAGAAATGAACTTTCATGCCGCATTTGTAAACTTTCAAAAGTTTGAATAAACTCATCTGGATGAACTCATTTGGCTATATACTTGTAGTTGTTCCAATGCAACTTTTTGTATTCTCTAGCGTTTCAATTTATTTGAAATAAATAAAACTCGTTTGCAGTTAAATATATAATTAGAATTTCCAACTCAATGCTTGTTTTTAATGAGCTTCTAAAACGGTTGCCGCCACTTGAAAATGTTCAAATGCGGTCTCCCAGTCTCCCACTAATCCAAGACAATTGGAATTATCTGTACTTCTGCTTTGCTGCCAACAATGACAAGTAATTGAAGAGGCAGGCACAGAAACGGAAATTCTTGCACACAACATACAACAAAATGCCAAGGCAGCTCAAGCAAGACAACGAAGTCAGCAAGAGCAACAACAACAACAACAACAACAATAATCATGAGTGCAACAACTAACATAGTATAACAAGAAGAATGAACAATCAACAACATTTTTAGCATTTTCATTTAGAATAACTTTCAGCTTTAATTTGTGCAATTCATCAGCAAGCGAAGACGGCTCGGCACACAGTCTGCACAGTCTGGACAGAGGCGCACACAGGAAGGAATGGAGGGGGTGGGAGGGGGGAAGGTGGAAGGTGGAAGAATGGTTGTCTAAGTAAGCCGCATGGCTTTCAGAGAGGAAGAGCTGCAGTTAAAGAACTTCCGTTTCCACATTGCAGGCAAGTCAAGCAGCGAATATGGCAAGAGAGTGAGAGAGAGAGGAAGGGAGAGGCAGAGAAAGGGGGTGAGAGAGGAAGGGAGAGTGGCAAGTTGTGAGAGGAATGCGTTTTACCTTCTGCTAGAGAGAACATGCAATTTAAAACAATTAACAAATATGTGAATGTCAGGCCAGAAGCTGGCTCGACCGGGCCTAAAGACTGCAAAACTAAAGGCCCGATATGCTGGCATTATGTATACTTTGTTGCATGTGCCGCACATGCCGCACTTATGTGGCATTGTTTGCGCAACAAATGAAAATATGCTGTCCATCACAGAAGGAATGGAACCAAGAGCAGGGACGAGGGGCCAGGCCACAGGGCGGGGTAGCCAACGCTGGGCAACTGCTGACATAATTCGCAACTCATTCATCATTTTTAATTATGACAATTGCCTGACTGGGCTTGGGCTTGGGCTTGCGCTTGAGCTTGAGCTTGGGACTGGGAGTGGGACTGGAACTGGCTCTGGTTGTGGTTCTGTGCTGGGAAATGTTTACTCTCGCCTGTCTACCTGTCTGGACAGACTGGGCAGCATTTCGTTTTGGGCACAAATTGTTCTCAACTGTCTTGATGGGCTTGAGAAAATGCTGCTCACGTGCTTATTAGCTGTTAATGGCATTGGCTTTGTGGCTGTAGGACGGTAGGACGGTAGGGCTGTGGGCTTTTATGGGCATTTGATCTTTCAATTTATAGCCTAGACTCTCTCTTCCCGACTGGCCATCGCTGTTGATTGCCGTCTAATAGCAGTTAATGCCTCGCATTAATTAACTTGAAGGAATTGAGCTGTCAAAGTGTTTTATGAGACTTAGCAAATACTCTAAAACTGTAGTGCGATTGTAAAACTGTAAGAGTTGCTTAAAACATGAACTTCAGGAGTTAGTTACGCGATCAATGTACTTTTAAGCCATATAAAAACCAATCTGAGGGTCTTAAAGTGCTGAAAGACATTTCTAAAGAATTAAGTTCAAGTTCAATGAACCCCTATTGCCGCTTTGCATCAGAATGGGGCAGCAATGATATTGAAATCAATATGGCTGACAAGTCCCTTCATAGACCTAATTAGATTAGGGTCTATGCTATGCTTCAGGCTGTCAGACAAACCTACAGACACAGTCCGGCTAATCAGCTTAAAGCCCATCAAGTAGCAGTCTGGCCAAATTGCATCAGCTGCCGAAAATGGGCCATAAAAATCATAATGAGTTGTGCTCTTATCTCTCCAACTGCCTGTCTGCCTGCCTGTCAAAAAGTGTAACTATCCTTGATACCCGTTACGTATATTTGCAGATCAGCAAACCTAAAACTAATTAAATCAAAATGCACATAAATTAATAATTATAATCATGATTGCGTTACAGGGCGATGGAGCCGGAACGGGCGTCGAATGGCATTTTAATGTGATTTTAATGCGAACAAAATGAATTTCATTAGCAATTTTTTTTTAAATATTTTGCTTGCATAATGTAATTTGTGTTGTAATTGTAATTGTAATTTGCATGGCAGCTTCAGCATGCTTATAGGGCGTATACGTAATGTATGTAAGCTCTTCTTAAAATGTACACAAAACTTAATGCAGCACTGTACACGCTTTTCAAATAGCATAATTAATCAAATGTACTCAAAGTTGAGCCCAGGGCATAATAAATTTCCCAACTATGAGTGAAGTGAGAGCGATTAGTAAGGGGTGGGACGAAAATTCCTTTCTGTGTAAAGAGCTGCAAATTAACAAGCAAGAACGTGTAATTGAAATTAAAAAAAGGTACATACTTGTAGAAAACAAATGTCGTAAAACAATCTATTTTAGTTTAATAAAAAAAAGCCTCATTCGAAAATACACTAAGTATACGACTATATAGAGGCGACATACACTGCTCAAAATTTCTATGCTCTGCTGCTCTTCAACACAAAATGTTATTCAGTTGCAATGCGAATATTGCAAGCAAGTGGAAAAGCAAAAGTCGATTGTACATACATACATATGTGTAGATGAATTATATGAATTTTAAAAAATTAACAAGTTCAGGCAAGAAATCAAAATTGTAATAAAATCATTTCTGTTGATTGATTTTACCTTCTTTGGGATTTGAACTCACGGAAAGGGTGTATGTCGGCACATATACATCGGATTTGCGGATTTGTTTAGTACAACGTTGAGCCAAAGCAGCAAAAACAACAACACCACCTGGCAGAGCTTGGGCAGAGATTACATTTATGGCTATAACTTCCTTTAAAAGTAGCCTAACAAGATGAATTTTGAGACATGGAGAGTGGGAGGAGAAAATTAAAAGAATTCCAGGACTACATATGTACCTATAAAAAAAGCAATTCTTCAAAGTTTCCTCTGAGTTCTTCTCTAACATTTAAAAAATAATATTTATTTAAAAATTGTTTGATTACTGATTAAAATTATTAAATTACAATTGTTTTTTTCCGAGTAAATTACTAAATAATTGAAATATTGAAAATTAAAATTAATTTATAAAAATTAACATCGGAGTCATCAAAATAATATCACTTAACTTGGGAAAACAGCTGTTTTCAACAATTTTTTTTATTTTTATCAAAACCTTTTAGAAATTTTATGAAAAAATAAAGAGCATTTATACTATTTCCCATAGTTCGTAATCAGCCTTTCAGCATAATCTTATTATTAACAGCAAGCAATTTAAGTTGAAAGCAAATTTTTTCAAATGAATGAACTCTATTCGAAATGAAGAAGAACAGTGCTTTAAGGGCTGAGGGGACATGTCAGTTGAACATAAAATGTGGCCTGTTTGCGGCTAACATTTTACATCTGACCATAGAGGGTCATGCAACAAACCGCACGTGTTGTCTGTGCGGGTTTCGCTGCAGCTGGCATTGCCCCAAATAAGTACACATCGTGTGGAAGGACATGCATGTTTTGCATTTTTTGGGTGTGTGTGTGTGTGTGTGGCGGGATGGTAATTTGTCGACTGCGACCCGGTGCTGAGTAAATATTTGTTATTAATAAAACATGCTGTATTTTTCGTTTCAGCGTTCATTTCGGCAGCCGCAGCGAGCACTGAAGAGCACGTAGTCAGTCAGCAGTGCAGCCTCAGCAGGACACATCAATCAAGCTGCAGTCAACCTTCCACGCCCACGCCAAAGCCCTCCAACAAACCGTCGCTCGGCAGACCAAATGTATGCCGGCCGTGCCACGCAATTTGCCAAAACCTTCAGCAGCATGGCGTGCAGCATTCAGAAGCAACCTACGCAGCCCGCACCAATGGCGGCAGCAGCTGCTGCTGCAACAGTAACTACAGCATCAACAACAACAGTAGCAGCAGCAGCAGCAGCAGCTACATGCACATCGAGTGGAGCCGGCACCGTGCCCTCAACACCCAAGACAACAAAAACAGCGGCCCAGCCACGTGGCTCATTGCCGACGGATGTGCATGTTCAGCCGCCCCTAGAATTTCAATGGCCACCTCCGGTGCCCGTGTCCAGCCATACGAGTAATTTGCGTCTGAACATGATGAATCAGGATCCCAAGGACTTACATACGGCACGCGCCATTATTGAGGAGCTGCGCTCAAAGGTCCGCTTCCAAACGGAGCACATCATGAAGTGGCGCAAAGCATACGCAATGCAGGTGAGTGGGCAGCCGGATAGGCCCCATCTGATGGAAACAATTCGCTTGAGAGTCTTTTAAACGACTTTTAAATTAAAACGACCGTTTTGAATGGGTTTCAAAAGGGGTGGGAATGGGTTTATATATTAAAAAGAAATGCATTCTCGATTGAAATTGTTTGGGGAAAATTATTAATAATTGCAAACTGGCCCTTTTCAGTTAATGACGTACAAGTTACATTCCAAAGTAAACAGGACCACATATTGATGGATCAGCTAAGTTGGTTATGCCATTCTATGTACTATCGGTAGGATCGGCATGGTTCAAATTTCACGACAATCGGGCAGATACAAGCGGAGTTATCGCACACAAAAAAACATTGTGTGATGTGCTATCGATACAAAAATGACTATCGAATTCAGAACAAATATTGAGTTTCCTCTTAAATTCAGGAAAAAATTAAAGAAACATTCCAATTGTGTAAAACACCTTATAGTAATAATGCGATATAAACGTGGCAGAGTCCACGAGTTGTAAACGGGTTTCAAGAATGATGTTTAATACTTGAATGAAGACGAACAGGTTGGCCAGAGGAAAGTCCTAATTACCTAAGATATAGTCGAAAAATTGCTCGAATTTAACAAAAACGTTGCTTTGAGTCGGAATGTGATTTAGTCCATCTAAGAAGAACATTTCTGGTTTAGTAGCATAGAAATTGTTATAAATTGTAAAATATAGTAAATTAATTAATAAAGTTTATGTTTCATTTGGCGAAATTAAATTTAGAATAGGTCTACATCTTACATTTCTTAGATAAAACGTTTCTTGAAAGTGTAAGCCCATTTCTATTTTGAATACATACTCTGTGCTTAGAATTACTATTTTTGGAAGCGGTACGAATGGGTTTCATTTAATTTTTATTTTTTGGATGAAAAGGGCAAAAAGGGTTTATTTTTAAAAACTTATTGGTGCACTGAACAGAAAATACCAATGAAGTGCGTTTTCCATTGTTCAGAAAAGATTTTCTAATATCAAGAATTTTCTCCCGGCATCATTTATTATACCCTATACCGAAATAGGAAATGGGTAGCTTAGTGCGATGTGTTCTGTAACAGATATGTTCCACTTCCCGAAAGCCTAACATACTCTTATAAGGTACCTCTCGTTAGGCGCAGAATTTAATAATACTTATGTGGAGAATACACATTTAGTTCTACCAAATATCTATCTGGCCACTGTGGCGTTGTCGCAGTGTGTTGTTGCCAGATTGTGTTAATTATATATACGAAGGCAAAAGCAACAATGATAAATGTATTAACCGTTAACTCTCCACGTATTCCCTTTTGCTTATGTATAGTTTTCTCTTGTTTCATATAGTCGTTTTTGGTTATATAGGGATAGTAGGAGAGATCATTTATCAAGAACGGTTGGAATTCCAATCAGAACAGGGGGCTATTGGGGAGTTGCTTTGCGTTTATTGTAATTCTTTGTAATTGTAATTCTTTCGCTCTCTCGTCCAGGTTCAGCAGCACTATCGCTATCAAAAGGAGAAAACGGATCAGATGAATTCCTTAACCTCGCAGTTGCTGCTCCTTGAATCGCGTCTGAAGCGCAAACAGAAGCAAATCTCCAGTCTGCTCAACCACCGTGAGCTGACGATTCAGCGGCAGCAGAAGATCATCGATACGCTCTCGACACGACTCGTGGACCACGGCCTGGAGAGCATTGAGGCTAGCTATGCAAATGAGTTGGACTCTCTGAATGACTCCGATTCGGCGGTGGTGCTGGAGGACATTGACTCGGACACGAACATGACTTTGGGCTCCCGGCGCAAGAATAGCGGTGGCTGTGGGGGCTTGGGCAGCGATGGCATCACAATAGTGCGCTCCATATCCGATGCGATTGAGACCAACCTGAATAAGTATGGCGCGGCTAGGCGGAATAATTGCTTTCTGCGTCGTCCGGACATTTTGGAGACCGTGTATTCGGTGGAGGAGGATCCTGAACCCACATCGGATGTGGCCGAAAAGCGTGACAAGTTCAAAAATCGTTCCGATAAGGCGCTTAGTTCGAGTTCCACTGAGGGTCAAATCGATGGTGGTGGTGGTGGTAGTGGTGATGCAACCACAGCAGCAACAATAACATCAATTGAGAAAGCCAAAGAGGTGTGCACGCCACGCCGCCAGCTGGGCGGCCTAAAGCGCTCCCCCAGCCACGATTCGCCCTGCACCACGCTCAGCGTTAAGGTGCCACAACTACAGCCCATGTCACCGACAGTGGCACCGGCATCATCACCGGACCCGGAGCCACACAACGGCAAGTCTCAGGTGACGAACTACAACCGAGTCATGTCCAACCATCGCTCGGTGACAAAGCCCAAGGACGTCAAGTACAAGCGCATCAACAAGGCCAAGTCCAAAAGTCTGGAGGAGTTGCGCGGCAGGCTCAAGAACCTGGTGGAGCGTGGCAGTGGGGCGGCTGGTACTATGGATGCGGGCAATGGCGCCCCTGCCTGCTATGCGGCCAACATGATGCCACAAACGGCACAATCGTACGCGTGACCCATGCCGCAATTCTGTGGCTCCACCGCCAGTGTGGCGACGCTGCCGTGTGAGCCCACACCCCCCAAGGTGGCAGCCAGCATGCCGGAGGAGCTGGAACAGCCACATGGACATGAGAGACCTAAGCGTTCGCTCACGCTTCCCCGCATACTCGTACCTTCGGCAGTTTTCGGCACAAGTGGCCAGAGTGGTAGCAGTGGTGGCTCCGGAAATAACAGCGGAAGCAGCGGCACCACTGGCCGTGGTAGCTTCTAGCAATTAAAGAAATTTTTCATACGCAATTGTGATAAAAAGTAAAGTTGTGTGGATGCGCTGCAAACTAGCTCTCTAAATCGGTTAGCCAATTTCGCAAGGGTTAGTCTGAAATTAGTAATCCAATAGCTCCCTCTTTAGTATTCGTTATCAAGCATTCTCTATATCATTCACAGTTGATCTAAATTGTCCATAAAGCCATCACAATTTTATCAAGAGATTATCAAACATCTTGAGATTTAAAAGTGGTTTAAAACATCACTTTTGAGTTCGACTTTTGTACAAAATCAATTTTATTTCGGGCACAATACTATAGTTTGGTCATCCAGATTTATTATCTAGATACACATACTATAATTCCTTTTATTGTTCTACATTGATCTTAAATAAGCATTGTAATTTGAATTTGAATAAGAATAAATAGAGCTAGTTTGTAAATTGGCGGAAATCCGCACAACACTGGTTAAAAGTTTCTCTCAACATGCTCGCTCTCTTTCTTTATATATGTATACTTATCTCTCTCTATTATTAATCACTTACGGTCTCTGTCTCACACTGGACTTTTGTAACATTTGTTTCCTTAGCGATTTTGATACGCTCGGTTATAATATTAAAGAGAACTTGGCATTTAATTTAGTTTACTTATAGACTTATGTTTTAGCTGCGAGCTCAGTGCTCGTCATGAACTGCATTTTAATTTTATATCCAATATTATTTCAAATAATGAATAAATATTAACAAATTTACAACATTTTGTGCATGTTTTTATTATTTTCTCTCCGTCTCTCATCATATCATCATCACATTTGTTGTATGAGAAATTTCAACAATGGATCACAAATCGTAAGTTAGAAGGATAAATGAATTAGTATTTGGGGCTAGCAAGTAAATATTGGCAAATTGGAAAAAATTTCAAATAGTATATGGATAGTATGGTAAGTCTTTATATAAGGTACTAGTATCTGATATTTGGTGAAATAGGCATAGCGAATGTGGGAATAACGTTAATTGTAAAATAGTAATATTTCTAATATTATTATAATTATTCGGAAAATATGTTTGACTTTTCGCCGAATCAGTCAAAACTATGTATAAAAAGCAAAACCGTTGTACATTTAATCAAGTTCTGCTACAGAAGTAAAAAAATACATTTTTTCATAATAATTTTTTGAAACTACATAAGATGAAATCATAATTTAACTCTAAAATCTTATGTAGCTGTAAAAACAAATACAACCCTGTTCCGTTTTCCGAATTCAATTGAATTGTGTGGATTAGGAATTAGTAAATGTTTCACTATTTAATAAAGTACTGAGCTATTCGGTTTCAGAAATGATCGGAAGACGAATACTCAATCCTCAATCAAGTTATTTAATATAATAAATCAGAAGATTTTTAGGTTTACTCATTTCGAATCCACATATTTGATCGAATTCGCATACAGAAATCATTGCCCTTATTATGATTATTATAACTTTTATTAGCGTTCCTAGTTCGATATTCAACAATCAACAGAGGAATTGGCCAGTTGACAAATACTAGTCCAACACACAATATTCTTGGATTGTTGCTTCCTAAATCTGAGAAAATGATTTTCATTATTTAAATTAATAATTATTGCAAACCTCAATATTTTTTAAATCGAATAAATCAATAGTTTTTACTCATTTGAATTCTACAAAATTGGAATGAATTCGCTTATGGAAACATAGCAGAGTTCATTTTTAAAAATTACCAAAAGTTATAATTATTTTTTCTCTTCCTTCCCTGTGGTATAAAAATTGTACATTAGTTTTGTGAAAAGAGATACTTTAACAGGCAATTTAAATATTCTGAAACTAGGAAACGCCTGAGCCCACATTCCCCAAATTCTCTCTCCTAATATCCAGACAACACGAGTTTATTTTATTTTTTTATTACCACTCTTCCACGCTACAGAATTTCGAAATGTCCACATTTCGGAAGCTCCATAAGCCAGACTTCTTATTTTTGCTTAAACTAGAGGCTCACATATTTTTGCGCCGGAAGTTTGTTTGGGGTGTAGGGTATTTCGCTGTCAGACTTACTCAACTAAAGAATTCTCTCCTTTCTTTATCTTTATTTATGATAGTCTGAATAATGTGTAGCCAAATTTTCGGAAACCCATGAATGTTACTGATGAGTTTATAATTTTATCTGCTGGAAATAATACTCTTTACGATGCCTACAGCTTGTGATATAATTTTTAAGATATTCAGATATTTTCAGCTTTCTTAAATTCACAAATATTTTGTAATTATAGGCGTTAGGTATTCTTCAAAAAAGCAGTTTTTTTTTTCATTTTTGAAACTGTAACCTGTTGATCTTGAAGTAGTCTATTCAATACCTTTTTTTAAACAATTAAAGAAGGTAAATATGAACATATAAGTAAAAAAACTAATCGTTTTAATTTCTATGAGAAACCCGCTTACTTTTCAGTGAGCCTACGTGTGTTCTCTTTTCTTTAATTAGATTTTATTTACTATTAGTTTTATACATGCATTCTTCATCATATGATTATTGAACTAATTATAAGCTCTACTCCATGGACTGTCTTCTAGATAATTGAATTTATAAATGCGTATGTGTGCGTGTCTGTTATTGCAAATAAATACCATACATATAGTACAGTAATCTAATCGCTTTGAGTAAACATATATATATTTATATATATATATTTTCTTACCTATTGTTGCTGCTAATCTTTTATAAATAGAATGGAAATAAGTGAGTGTAATTGCAAATTAATGTTTAATACATAATAATGTTAGTAATGTTAGTTGTGTAGCTTAAGGACATAAGCTAAATACGATACTTGTATTTATTTTTGTTGATTTATGCAAATTATTTTTGAAATTGTTATAAACTTTGAGGGCGGCTCCCATTGCCGCCCAATCGAAGTCGAACGTCATGTGTACCTTGAACAAAACAATTAGTTGAATTAGTTAAATGCGATATGTGTTTAGCAATAAGCGTTAAAATAGCACATTACCAGATAAGGACCTGCAACTAATTAACCCATAGATGCTTCTCAATATTCCAACTAACTACTTACAATTAAAACTCAAAGTACAATGCTGGAGCAGCAAGTTATGCATAAATCGATATACCTACCAAGTACTAAACACTGAATATTCAATATTCTCAATTCAAATATATATATACTGAAGTACATACTAGTATATAACACCGTGTTTCAATAACCAAAAGTACCTAAGAAACAACTTTTCACTGTTGATATCGCATATATGTGTGGATATACATATGTTTGCCAATAAAATATATCTCTATGCTAAAATCTATTTTGAGAAATCAAATACGTAAAAAAATATATTTCTGTGGCTATACATACTATACAAGTATTAATGATGTGAAGAATATATGTGAATAAATATTATAAACAGAACTGCGTCAATTTCGCAATTCAATTAAGTTGTAAATAAAAACAGTACAAAACAAATAGACGAAATGTACTATAAAATTAAATGTATAAAGCGTGTTATTCTGAACATTAAGATTAAGATTATCTTTTAATGATGTCTAGAATTTGGAATTATTTTTCTAAGGCACTAAGATTGTTCACAATACATATATGGCAATTATTTGAAAACAGGCAATTATAATCAAGCATTGTAATATTAAAATATTCAAAAAAAGATTATTAAAATTCCATCACAGGAAACACATATTTAAAAATTGTATTTAAAATAGCAAACCATATTATCGACAAAACTAATAATTCAAAAAGCTGTACTTCTATTTTATAATAGATTTGCCACAAAACTACAATTCTTTACAATTTGCTGCGAATTAAAATTTCCTTATTTGGCACAAACCGGAACCAATAAATCGTCTCCTTTTGCCAATTATTTATTATAAGATCTTCCATGCTTACTTTTTCATCTTTCAAATATTCAAGAGAAGCTCATCCTCACGCGCTCTCTTGCTCCTTCCGTGTGATCTAACGGCGCTCTCTTGCTTCTTTGCGACAAGTTGTGGCGCTCAACCACCCTCCCTTACGCTTGTTCATACAGCTGCATACAACTGCCTCGATTCACAAATGTAGGCAAGTTAGGAAACTGTTATACTAAGTATGCATGAAAGGGAGCTATAAACATTCGGCAGGTGGCTATAAATGTTACCCTCGATTGGGTAACACTGGTTGCAGTTGTGATTGTTCGACGTGTGAGAGCGTGGGTGAGTGGCAGCACAGCCAACTTGTCGAGAGATCGGCATCATACCGTTTTTGGATCTATTAGTGTGTGTGTGTGTAAGTGTTCTGCGCTCTCCGTCTTCTGGCAAAAAATAAACTGTAAATTTTAGATCAACAGCAAGATCTGAAAGATAAGTTTTCTGTTTTGTCTCTTTTTTTGCAATTCAAACATAAATTTATAAACATTTAACATTTAATAGTAATAATTAAGTATGAATTGTAAGAAGAATTTCAACATTCATTTAATATGTATATTAAATTATTTACGATGTCCTTACGATCGTCTGTATAAATTAGAATTAAGTGCTTATATATTGTATGTATGTTACGATCTTTTCTAGTTAGTCTAATTAATTGTGAAGAACATACTTAATATTCGTATTAATTGAAAACATTTGCTCATTTTCCAAATTTGAAATTCGAACTTTTTCATTTAAAACTTTGCTGAAACGCTTAATAAAAAGCTCAACTGTCGAACTAAACGAATGTGTAATCGGCTTATCAATGGGTCGCTAGGTGGGTGTCCACGTCAGTATCTGTCGAGCAGCGCACGGAGACGGTCCAATCATGTCCAGAGCGAGCGCTTCTCTGCGGCTTCTTCTGCTTATCAGTGGCTGCTTATTTGCAGCGATTGTAAGTTCAGCTCAAACATTAGACAATCTGTCAAGTGACTCGATGTTATTCCAATCTAGAATGCTGAACAAACGGGGGATACAACCGTACGTCCAGCTTTGTCGGAATCCCAGGCTACGGTGCAAGCCATCCAGCGGCACTACAATCATGTCCTCCACACCAGTGTCGGGCGCTATTGGGAACTACTGCAGCAGTCGACGGACAATAACACCGTGGATAGGCAATATTTTGAGAACCTAGACACCGTGACGTGCGATAAATATTACTACGCTAAAGCGTACTTTATATTCTATGTCATGCATAACGATCAGTTTGGTGAAAATTCGAAGCCAGACAGAATAGTAACTCTGATATGGCCATCTGAGAAATCGGCTATACGAAAGTTCTTCAAGAAAGTTAACAGACTGCTTGGACATTACTTAGAGCGCACCAAACAGAGTAATCCCGAATTGTTGGCTAAACTGACGAGCTGGCAAAATCCAACTGCCCCAGACACAGACGAAGGAGCGAAGAGGATTCTCGAATCGTTTATTGAATTCCCTGAATACCTGCGGAAACAAGTGCCGGAACTGCAGCTAATGGACTATACTGCCAATTTACTTAATGAGAATACTCAAGAGTGTGTGTAGTAAACTTTCGAACTTATAAACTAGGATCTCTCTCTCTCTCTTACTGTTGTACAACAGTATCGCGATATTATGATACTTTAACAATTTGGAGCAACCGAAGTGCTTAACACAATAGACCCCACTGTTTTCCAAGTGCTATTCAAATTCAACTAAAATCCCGTTCAATACAATATACTACGTTTTAAAATAAAACTCATTTAAATGACCCGATTTGTGCGAAAGTTACTGTCAAATTATTTGATTAACAATTGTACTCAGAGGAATCCCTTAAAGGAACGCATAAATCTTTTTATCATTTCCATTTTACTCAACAACTTATTCAGCACTCTCTCCATCCTGTTTAGCCACTGACTATTAATTCGCATTTATTAGAAACGGTATCTCAGGTCACTTAACTTATCGCTCACGTGCATTGATGAATTTTTTGGACCCTTGTTATTTCTGTTTAAAAGTCTACAATTTTATTCTAATTCATTTTTTACAATTCGTCTAAGAAACTGTTAAGCTTGTCTAAAGTCCACAAGGATCTCGATATCGTAATAGTTTATTAAACTTTCAGAATCTATTTAAACCCCCTGAGTTTAGTGGAATTTTAATTTATGACTGACTCTGTCCAAGATAGATCAACGCAAAAAGGGAGACAGCCATTACGGAAATTATTTTAAAACTTAAGAAAAAATTTCCTTATGAAGAAAACACATTTCACATTTTCGGTTATTCAGAAATTTGTTCGGGGGAAAAGTTGTTTTTTGAAAGAAACTTTCTCAAAAGCGAGTCTTGCTGATCGTTGATCTGCTGCAGCTTTGGAAGCCTGAGCTTTGGTTGTTTATAAGTGTCAGCATAATCCGAATATACGTGATTTCCCACTCTTGAATTCGCTCTCTTCGATTTTGCGCGCTTTGTAGTGCCAGAGGAGATTGTGTTCCCATTTTCGCATCGCTTAGAATTTCGGATGGGTTTCGCCATGTCGCTCTATGCGCGTTCTGTTGGTCATGTTGTGGGCAATTAAATGGCAGTGCGGCACTTATGGTCCCTGATATATTATGCTAGCAATGCTCCCTATTCGAAGCAAGTAATATAGCGATAGCTGAGACAAAAAGTATTCCTATCTCAGCTACCATAAACAAAAGATTGCAGTTCATAGTTAACTATTTTAATATAGAAGCAACTTACAAAGTATTTTTCAATTGAAGATTGCTGTTCTAGATCTATTTTATTATCCTAGGATAAGGATTACAAGGCGTTACAAGTTCAGGTTACTTTACGGTAGTCATTACAATTTTAATTATATCAAGCTTATTATTAGGTTATTTTCATATTATTAACTTTAGTTTTAACATTAAACATTTTTATTATTCTTTATAATTATATATATTTATTAGCTTTTTTTTTGATTAATTTATACTTTGCCTACTCAAATAAGTGTGTGTTTAATATTTAAATTTTTGGTAACGTTAATTTAGTTAATGTTTTGCAAGTGTGCTTGAATCTTAACCCTGAAGTGCGTTTCGCTCCTAATTGTGTTTGGTTGATGCGGTAAGTAAATAACGAATTGCTTTTCCGAGCTTGCCAATTTAAATAAGATTTAAAGATTTACAAACTACAAGTATGTTATTCGTTCGTATAGATAATTCGGCTCCTTACGTGTAATAATTTGATGCAAGAAGATTAGGGTTCTAACTTTAATCCATGAGTCAACGGCCAGATTGTATATTTTGTTGGCGTACGTCGTTATTGAATCTCTTCTTTGAATGTTTAAAATATACCGTGCTACGCTATTAAAGGCTACTTTTAATATGTTTTGGCTCACAGCATCGCAGCTTCCGAAAATTTCAATCAGATAAAATAGCAAGGGTGTCAGGCATGTCTTGGCAATAAGGAGCTTTAGTTTTACAGGAAGAAAATTCTGCGGTAAAGACAGGCGCCTTAGTGCGCTATAAAGTTTTCCAACTGCCTTATTTACATGGTCGCACCAAGATAATGATTGATTTATATGCCTAGGTTTATTGCATGCTCTACGTACTCAATGGGATCTAGTTGACACAAGAAACTACGTTGTGGTCTTAGGCACAGATTTTTATAGAGCATCTATTCTAGATGCATGCTTGTATTATATTCCCAAGTTTCCGGGCTATCACTGCGCCACCAGCTTATAGGTTTGCGCATTAACTACTCTCAGGGTTTCATAGTATTGCTGCAGCGCCTGTCTGGCTGCCAAGAGAGCTGGCAGCAACACTTCCGTATCCCTCAAACGGCCCTCGTACTGTCGTTCCAGAGTCTCGAGTTGCATGCGCAGTGCCGAGTAGAAGCGTCGCAGTAAACGTATCTGGCGCTGCACCTTTCCCGGACTACACTGGCTACCCGGTTGCCGACAATTCTCTACAAAATGCATAAAGCTCGAGGTAGATTGGTGAAATTGTTCGGTCCAAGAATCCATGTCCGCTCTGAAACGCTCCTTTAGTTCTGCCTCTTCATCGTGCTGTTGCAAAAGTTTCCGGAGCGCCCGCAAGCTGTCCCCTTCGGCTGCTGGAAACTAAGAACTGGAACTATCAAGTGGGTCGTTAGTTTTCATAAGATAACCTACCCGGAGAAGCAGCAGAACACTGAATACTAGGTAACGCCTCATCATTCCTAATGAATGTTCTTATCGCGACAAACGGTGCTTGGCTATTGATTACAGTTCTCTGGCTCCCACGTTCTACTGATTGGCATGTCAGACAACAAATACTGGGTACTGCCCAGTTGCATGCTCAGATGCTTACTCTACACCAGACAAGGGCTTCTTAGAGCTGCATGAAGACTTTGCGCTCTTTGAAATCTTTCAAATGCAATTGCTAAAAAGTTGTTCTATGCTAAGAAATATATACATATAATATTACTAATAGGAGTGTGAAATTGTAATACATGTATGTTAGGATTATATAATGAAAATCCTGAGCTAAGTAATCAGAATATATATGTGAAACAGAGTTATGCTCAAAATCTTATAATCTATATGTGCACATAGGTTATAAAATATATTACAGAATAGCCAGTCAATCACGATCGAGCCAACAATTAGACTATAATAGAATTGTCTTTTCCCATTTCGTTATCTTTAATCCGTCCATCATATATGTATATAGTATTTAAATATATTCAGATGATATAATATATTTGTAAGTAATTTTTTTCAGATCAGAAATGTTGAAAAAGGTAAGGCAAAGTTAATACATATACACATATATAGATTTTTTAAGTAAAAAGAGTTATTCGAAAGCAAGCTTTTAGTTTTAGGGATAACGTTCGCTTATATATTTCATACAATATAAGTATTATACATATATATTTCCTTTTATTCCCTTTTGCACAATTGTTTGATATTAGAAAGAAGTTTCCACAAGTCTGGAGAACTTGTATTCTACTAAATATTTTAATAGTTCTTTCTTCCATCAGGCTTTTTCTTATAATACCTTTTACAGATTTCGGTTTGATTTATTTCTGAATCTCTTCCTTTTTTCTTTCAATTTTCTTTGAACTATTTTCTAAGCTGTAAAACAATTTCTAAACAGATTGACTGAAGGCTCTGATTCTGAGATTATTATAAACCAGGCCTTTTTGTTATTTGTCCATATTATTTTATTTAAAAATGCTTTTTAATTTTCTGTTTGCTCTGTAAGCCGATGGATTCGGGTACTATAGTATACTATATATATGCTGGTTCTAATACTCATATTTCTATATTGTGTAGAAGACAGCTGAGCCCTTCACCGCAAAACTTAAAAATAAAACATATATATGTCGAAAAAGTCAAAAAGATTTTTTATAAACAAATTCAAATGTTTAAAATTGTTAAAATGTTAAACTGTTTTACTGTTTTATTTTTTCTGTAAACAGTTTTGAAAACTACTTTTTTTGCGTTTTGAGAAAAATTATTTTTATTCTGAAGCCAGAATGTTTCAAATACGTAATTCCCTATATAGGCGAAATAAATACGAGCGCTTTCTTATAGACATCACATCTTTTTGTTTCCTGCGTCGTCTAGAGACCGCAATTGCTTATTCCGCTGGCTATAGAGTATCTCGCGTGTGACGCAACTCGGAATAATTTGCTATTTGGGAAGCTGCGAAGACACTTGCGTGCTTGCCGTCCTTCCATTTATAGGAAGTGCGCAGCACAGGGTCGCTGAACAGTCAACAATAAAGTGTTCAACTCTCAACATGCATGTCGTACTATTTCTGATAACTTTCTGTAGCATCGGGGCGATATCTCCAGCGGTAAGGGTATAGAACAGTTAAGAGTTGCTTGATAATCCTTTCGTTGTAGTATGCGGCTCCTTTTCTGCCCAGCGTCGATTTCAGCGAGATCTTAACCACACCTCGCGAGAAACTATTGCTCTACACCCACAAGGAGTTCTCCACCCTGCTAAATGACACCTTGTTGGAGGGCGCGCTGCTGCTGCAGGGTATTATCGACGATGCTCGGGCTTTTTATCCAGGAATGCAGAGTCCAGAACTCGAGGCCTTTGCCAATTTCATATCAGCCACGAAGAGAACCAACGAATATGATGAGCTGGAAGAATTGCTCGATCAGTTCGAGGAAATGTTGGACTTCGACTCAGATGAGGTCAGCGAGCCTCTGGCCGAGCTGCTCAACCAGCATGGCTTTCATAACTTCGAGGGATACCTAATGGAGCGCATATCGGGCGCCTTAAGTAGAATCGAAGAGCATGTCCAGCTATATATCAATAGCTTGTCCAAGTGGGAGCGCCAAAAGGACTCCAAGATGGTCCAATGGCTGGCCTCTTTTCGAAATGAACACGATATTGACGAGAAGATGGAACTGTTCCTAGATTTTGTTGAATTTTTCGACTATTGACGTCAATTGAACTAAATTCAAATGGCTTGATACTTTTCAATAAGAATATTGTTAATTTAAGTTCAAATGTCTTTTAAAATATCGCGATCCCACACTTCTTTACGAATTGATGGACGAGATATATATTTGTTTAATTGGTTTCTTTATTCGAGTATTGATTTCAACCTAGCATTAAAGTAAATACATATTAGTTTAAAAATTACGCGATTGCATGCCAAACCCGTCACGGGAATCAAAAACATTGTGCTCCACGCGCGGGGCTCCCATGCCATCAGACGTAATGCTGTAGGATTGTGAGCGAAAGAAGTTGCCCGATGACCCACCCGAAGAGTCACCATCGAAGCCGAAAGGTGTGGGCATCGAGGACTGTCTAGACACAAATGAGCTTCCAACTGGATAGGGAAAGGTGTTCATGCCGCGTGACATTAGAGGAATCTGAAAAAATATTGAAATATTAGAGTTGCTGTTGAGAGACCGTAGTCTTCCCTGTGTGTAATTATTTTAAATGAGGGAGCATTTACTAAAATATATGAAATTATATCAAAATTTTGAAGACTTTAGTAAACAATATTTATCAAGAATGTTAGTGCCGTAAGGAATATCTATCTATCTTAACTAATTTCAACTTGGATATGTAAAGTTGTCTTTTATGCTGAAACGTGAAAGATAAAGCTGTTATAAGTTGTATAATCATCATCTTTAATTTCTATATCATATTCAAATATTTTTGAAGAACTCTATAGTGTCTGAGCTTCTAAAAGTCACTAAAGGGAATATCCGTATTCCATGCTCACCATGGTTTTGTTTTGTTCTAAGCAATTAAGAGTCGAGTATGAATCGTGTATTACAAGTATAGCCAAGGAAATATTTTGGTTGTTTTCCCAAATATTGCCTATGATACAAGTATTTGGCAGAGTCCAACTAAACAACTAAACACTTATCGCAGCTCTCTCCTGTTAATAATAAATAATTCAACTAGTTCTCAGTCAGTCCTAAAGCCGTTTAGCTATGGGTACAATATCAGCTCATCTGGTGATTATCACATCTCATAAATAACATTTGTGGCAAGGAAATACTTCCTTTCTAAGTAAAATACTTTCCCTAAGTCCACACATTACCCAAATATTGTAGAATATGACAAACCTATGCCTTGGCTCACATTCTTCTACAATTATAGGTAGTTGAAGACACTCTTAGATTGTTATTTTACTTACCATATCGTCATCATTTGGTCCACTGCTAATGGGAAATCCCCTCGATGAGTGTGACATTGAACCAGGCACCGGGAAGGGAATGGGTGAGTTGCGGAATCCCTGAAAACACACCCAGTATATTAGCTTGCTGGCTTAGCTCTACCATAGTGTAGTATTACAAACCGTATGAATAGTGCTGGGTCCAAAGTTTGGACGAAAACCTGTATAGGGTGGTTGCATTGAGCTGGGGATGGGATATGGCCTGGGTACGGGGCGCAGACCAGGCTGATAACCAAAAGGTTGATTGAATCTGGGATCACTATCAGGAATATTCTGACGATTTTCGTTGTTATTTCCACTATATTTGGTCTCTTTAAAAAAACTTTGACTGGCTGATGAGCTTTCATCGGAGGGACCGCCAATACGACGCGCCTCCGCTGTTGAGGCCTACAAAATAGACGTAGCTTTAGGTGTTGCTTTTAAATATTATAGCTCTTTAAAATATTACCACAGCGAATTCCTCGTCAGTGCCACCTGCTGCTGTCGCATCCTGTCAAGAGAGAGGGTTATACATCAAGCTGATGAACTTGGTTTAGTAAGAGAGAACAACGAGAGTTAACGAGAACAACAAGAGATAACGCAACAGTCCCGCAAGCCCGACAGTGAAATACCCTGTACCTAGACAAACTTCTGGAACTGAGTTACATTGTATATGCGCCCATAGTAGAAGCAAATTATGGGCTGTATTCAGGAAATTCTCTTGTCATGCTGATTAAGAATATGTAAACTTTATCTGATCGGAGATGCTTCCTTCTCTCTCGGTTGCACAAACACTAATAAGCCCTTTTAGCCCTTCTGCTACAGGGTATAAAACGAAGTATCTTGGCGTCTAGTTAGGCGGGCGACCCTGCTATTCACCCTTCGAAGTGCTGAAATTGATGGAAGTTCGATCATTTTTGTGTTGAAGAATAGTACGTCTTTGGCGGCTTGTATTCATCAATTCTCCAACAACTTCCGGCATACCAATTGTTGTACATAATTCAGGTTCTTTAAATCATAAATACACGACAGGACCAGTTTTTGCAAAGAAGCAGGACATCATTTGCCAGAAAATACTTCTACAACAAAGAGCCTAAGCAGTCTCCAACACAGCCCAATCCTTAGTTCAGAAATTTCCGAAGATGCCTCTACCTCACAGTATCTCACATGACAATCTTCCATTATCAACTTATACGCAGCATCTATTGCTTCCGTTTTTGAACGACCTTCACAATATTCTTCCTGAAGACAACGACGTCCACGGTTGAGTTCACTGTACTTCCGCAGTGGCCAAGTGGCCAAAGGACCTCTGTTCAATTTCAGATAATCTTTTCAAGTGACTTCATACGCTTCAAATATTTGTATGCAAAAAACCAAGCTTCATGGCATCTACGTAATACTAATCCTACTTACCAGCGGGTCTTCGTCAACGGCCTGCATCGTAGCATTTATCGACTGGAACTTATCGATTGGTATGTTCCGTGTATCGCGTGCGACCCGTAGATGCTGCAGATATACATGGGTAGTTGAAGGGTTTCGGGGTTGAATATAACTGCGTTTGGACTCACCTTGCTGGTGTTAGGAAACACAGATGTTCTGCCACCGCACTGTGTACAGTGAAATGCAATTAATTATGATTAGTTTAAAGTTGAGACCTTTCTCGACTCACCGCCCCTTTGGCCAACAGCAGCGCGCTCAGTAAAGCAATAGTTTGAGTCCAGCACGGCGTCATCTTTGAGGTTTCGGCAGAGTATTAGTTCTAAACTAGACAGCGGTTTTCAGCGTTCTGTGAGCTTGTGCGGCCTGGTAGCTGTAATTAAAGCCAAGCGCATCGCATTTTAACACGTTTGACGGGAAATACGATGTGTTCCAAGTGCATTGACGCCCGGGGTTATCAATTGCGATTGATTATATGGAATGGTGGGAAAGCCGCGCTCACGACTTGCAAATCAATAAAGTACTAGATGCATGTAGGTGTACATATTAAATATATTTGATTTTATTTTTCAAGACTACAATTAGATGACTTATTAACGTCCATAGCCGTAGGGTGAACCATAAGCACGCGGTGGACTGGGATAACTGGGCAAGAAAGGCCGATGGGGCACTATAGCGACTGGGGGATAACCGTAGCTAATTTTGGGAAAGCTATCGAGTTCCGGCATCTTGGGTTTGCTTTCTTCATCACTTTTGTCCGACGGCTTGCTGTCAGCTTCGTCCTCATCTTCATGGGAATGGGGGCCAGGGAAGTGAGGAGCAAAGCCCAGACCAGGTCCAAAGCCGCGCCCGAAATACGGACTACGATGATGGTGGTGAAGGAAATAGTTTGGTGGCTGCGGGTATGGAGAGAAGTGAGGATTCACCGATGGGTAAGGTGGGTAACCAGGCTGAGCAGACGTGGGCGTAGAATCGCCAGATTTCGACTCCGGCACTTCCGGCGTGGGCTTTGGATATGGCTGGTTCAGTAAGTGGGGATACGGATATGTAAACGGCGTGTGAAGGTGTGGGTAGGGATGGGGGTGTGGGTGTGGATGCGGCTCGTGCTTCTGCGGTGGCTTCTCTGTAGTTGTAGTTGTTGTTGTGGTAGTTGTTGTTGATGTTGTTGTTGTTGTTGGCTCTGGCATAGTAGTTTCCTCCGCAATCTTGACATTATTTGTTAGTGCCAGTCCATCATCCGCTGAATCCAAATCGTCAGTGGGGTTCTTGGCCGTCCCCTGCTCCACAACAGCTATTTCCGGCAGCACTGTAGTCTTCTCTGTAGAATGCGGATTCCACATATCCGAGTCATCCAATGTGTGTTCTTCGCTGTAGACGGAGGCATCACCTGCCAAGCTGAGCGCCAACAACTGTAGGAGAAAGACAATTGAGTCAAGGCCTAGAAAGTCCCCAGAAGCCACCATTCTCACCTGGCTAAGTAATACAAGTTTCATAAACATTGTAGCTTCAACTCTCTTCAACCTTTCAAAGCAAACTGATTGCCGGCTAATGAGCAAGCAAGCGCTTTTATAGCCGTCATATACTACGAGTATTCGTACAAAGCGAGCAGCGTCCAGAATATGTAAATCAGCAAACCGCCAATTAAAGATTATTTCTACAAATCAAATCACATGCTTATACACATATACAAGTATACTATACGACGCGAACAGCTCATTGTTGCGACGAAAACCCCGCTTGAAGATAATGTATTGGGGCAGTGTGCGTAATGCACAGCATCTGGGAATTTCTACCAGCATTGACATTGACATTAAATTGGACCAAGAACGTGCGGCAAACCTGTTGCCAGCACCATAGCCCATGCAATGGTAATAAAACTTAATGGCTGCCCAAATCGATTTTGTTCGTAGAGCATGTCCAGCGATGGCTATAAAAGGGGCATTTCTCCAACGATGGTGTTTTTCCACACAAGATTGTGATGAAGCTTCGCAGACTGGTAAGTGTGAGCTCAAAAATAAAGTGCCAAGCACAGGGAAGGCATTTGACAGCAATGGCATCCTCAAGGACTGCTCTCATAATTGCAGCTAATACACATTTTACTGCCACTGGTGCTGCTGAAAACAGTTTCGGCACAAGACCCACCTGAGGGCCCAGCGCCTGCCCCCGCGGACTCAGAGACTCCAGCGCCCGCCGCCGGCGCCGCCGACGCAGACAGTACAGCCCCCGCCCCCGCCGCCGCTGACGCCGACGCTGGGACTACAGCGGCTGCCGCCGCCGATGCTGAGAGTCCAGCGCCCGCCGCTGGAGACGCCGAGACTACGGCGGCCGCCGCCTCTGGAGAACCAGGTAGTGCCACTGAGCCGAGTGCAGGTGAAACAAAGGACCCGAATGCAACTGAAGCTAATGCGAATGGAAACGAAACTATCAAGCCAGGAGCGACCGAACAAATGACAACTGTTGAAGGACTCGACTCTGCAAGCGAGCCTGCGGAAACCACCATAGGAAGTGATGCGGAGAGTGAGACGACAGAGCCGCCAAGCACGCCATATGACATGGAAGAGCTGGAGGAGCTGGTAACTGAAAACGGCGGCCATCCATTTGAGAGGCCTAAGCGACATATGCCCGGCTCCCGACACGTTAAGGCCCACGACGGCTTCCACAACGTCAAGAACGAGAAGCTCTGGGCGCATTGGAACGATGGGTTCAATCATGATGCAGACACGATTGAGGGTCAATAAAACAGTCCTTCTCATTGTTTCAATCGTTCCTATAGCAGCTATATGATAGAGTAAGTCGAGTTTTATTGCGATATCGTAATGAAGGGAAAAGTTGTTGATACCTAAAGTAATTTTTGCCCTATCTGTAGGATACAGTGCATTCATTTTGCTAGAAGTTTAAAAAAAGCTAATAAATACAAAGTTTTTCAAGATTTCTTTATAAACACAAAAGTGCTACTAAGTGCAATTATTCCTCTGATCGAACTCATGACAGCTATACAAAATAATAGCGCTATAAGTAGTTGGTCATAAACTTTGTCTGCACATCAATAAAACTAATATATATACCAAGTTTGGCGTCCCTACCTATTACGATGTAAAAAATGTTGATGTTCATACGGACAGACAAGTCCAGATCGATTCGTCACGTCTTTCAGCTACTCTAGTTGTTGCTTTAATTTCAGACCCTCGCAGCCATGGCCAATTCATTTGCTTGTAGCTGTGTAGTTGAATGTAAAGCCATGCAGCTGGTGGTTGATTTGGTAAGACTGTTCGGCCACATATATACTAGTATATATACACAATATATAGTATTTATAGCTAATTATTTGTATGCTACCCACCATGCTGTTGGCACGGCTCAAGGAACCTCGCCACGTTGCTGCTCACGACGGCTTTCACAACATCAAGCACGAGCCTCGATGGGCGCATTGGAACGAACGCGTGAAGGCGCATCATCTCCGCAAAGAAAGGCAAAACAGAGAAGGCAGAACCTCTACTTGAGAGAACATCATACATAATCGGTTTCATATTATTTCTTGATAACAGTGTTAATAAATAGCATTGTAATCCAAAGAGTACTAGAATGTGTTGGGGGTTAAGGGAATCCGTCAAGGTTTTTATTGATGAAAGCATTGATCTTCTCTCTATACACATAGTAGAGCTTTGTGTTTATACCAAAAGTTAAGTTGTTAAGTTTCTAACTCATATTATATATAACAAGAGCTAGAATAACCAAACTTGTTATCCAGATTCACCAGATCAAGATTGTTAATTTTATCTGATGTGACTTATTTCTGTATTATGTAAAAAAATTAATTAAATTTTTTAAATTAGTTATTAAATAATACAAAATTAGTTTTTCTTATTTGTGGGAGTGGGTACAGGGTCGGGCTTGCTCAACTGTAGCGTTCTTCTCGTATGTATATTTAATTATTTATTTCAAATTTTATGTTACACTCAAAAGAGTATGAAATGGGGCAGATGAAATTTCGTCCCCCGACAATCACTGTTCTTGGAAAAACACAACACTAAGGACAATTCTGCGATTAGCCAACGGCAGAATCAATCTTCTGAGCAGATGTTGGCTTGATTAGAATGGCAAACAAATGTTTAAGCCACGAGGAGCAAAACGAAGAAATTGCTTATATTATAATCCTATTAGAATTAATTATAATAATAATAAAATGTAAATGTATGTATTTATTTATATGCATATGTATTCATGACAATGAATGTCCTTTTTGATGTTCCGGGAGCTCTCCAAATGAGAAAAATGAGAATGAAAAATATTATATTATTAATAAAATTAGTTATAATAATAATATTTATAATAATAATAATTATGGATGTCATTTTTGAAGTTCCAACAGCTTGCCAAATGAGCAAATGAAAATGGCAAACAAATGTTTAAGCAACGAGGAGCCAAACGAAGAAATTAAATGTGTTATAATAATAATACAATTTATAATAATAATAATGATAGATGTCCTTTTTCGTATATATTTTATTTCCTATCGGTAATTTGGTTTATGTAAGTATCTAATTTACATAAATAATAATTATATAATTATTAATTTATTAAATTTGTTTAAAAGAAAATAAAAATGACTTCAAATATATTTAAATGGAGCTTTTATTTGTTTGATGGGTAAGGGCGGTGAAGAAGGTGCTTGTAGGAAGCTGACTAATAAATAAAAAAAAATGCAGCTTGGCCGATGGCCAAAACGCTTGCATTTGCTAAAAGCCAAAATCTGAAGTACCAGGCGAACATAAGCCAGCAGAAAGATGCAATTTTTCTAAAAATTTAAAATTAAATTCGGCCGCCTAAAAGATGCAACACTTTCCTTAATGTTAGCCGATCTTCACACCTTTTGGCAGCTGGGGCTCAAACCAATTTGGCAAATTGGCTTGAAGTCCGGCTGCTAAATGGTTTGAAGCCTGGCTTACATTTATTTTTAATTTTTTGAAAATCATCTTCCCGCTGCATTATGTTCGCCTAGTACATAGCAAAGAAGCCAGTTTGCAAAGTAAGACCGAGAGCAGCTGCGGCTTTCTTAAAATTTATAAAATCGCCTGCAAATGCTAAAAGCCAAAATCTGAAGTACCAGGCGAACATAAACCAGCAGCAAGATGAATTTTTTGTAAAAATTTAAAATTAAATTCGGCCGCCTAAAAGATGCTACACTTTTCTTAATGTTAGCCGATCTTCACACCTTTTAGCAGCTGGGGCTCAAACCAATTTGGCAAGAGTTCAAACGGAGTTCCAAGCGAATTATTTATTAAATAAATAAATAAGTTGCAGCGCTGCAATTTGTATCTAAATGAATGCAAATAAAAAAGGAGACTTTTTAGGACTTGCTGCTGATTTATGTTTGCCTGAATTTGAAGGATAAAGATCAGATCCTGCTTCCTGCAGCAAATCAATAATAAGGAAAAACGTTGCTATATTTTAAGTTGCTTTATTTGAAACTAAAAAAACTGCATAAAATATATGGTGACAGTTTAAAGGATAAATACAGTTCTTTTTAATTCTGAAATTAAATCAAGCAGCTCGCTGAGCCTGATACAAATGGCAGCACATTTGTCACAATTTAAAGGCCATTAGATGCACTCAAAAGAAGGCGCCAATGCTAAGCAAATGGTTGTATTGCACTGATATCAATCATACGCCCGGTTGCACGCCATTGAAGAACAGACGAGGCGTCGTCAATATTTTCCGTCCAAGCAGCCTCGTGGCCGCGACAGGACAGTTAACAGAAGCAGCAGGACAGCAACACCAACTGTTTATATATATAGATTTGTATACCCAAACTATCCAATCCAATCTATAGAGAAAAGAATCCAGAGGATAATACAGAAGAGAACACAGAGTAAAATACAGAAGATAATACAGAATAGGAACGAGAATAGAATAGAATACAGAATAGAATAGAAAATATATATAATAGCGAGTAGAAAACAGATTAGAGTAGAGAGTAGATTACAGAATATAATACATAATAGAATAGAGAATAGATTACAGGATATAATACAGAATAGAATACAGAGTAAAATACAGAATATAATACAGAATAGAAAAGAGAGTAGAGTACAGAATAGAATATAGAGTAGAATACAAATAGAATAGTATACTAATAGAATAGTATTATACTCTCTATTCTATTCTGTATAATACAAATAGAATAGTATTCTACTCTCTATTTTATTATGTATTCTATTCTGTATTAAATTCTGTATTCTATTCTGTATTTTACTGTCTATTTTATTTTGTATTCTATTTTGTATTCTACTTTATATTATACTCGTAGTTTACTCTCTACTCTATTCTGTATTCTACTCTCTCTCTCTTCCTTTATTTTTGTGCTAGCTTTATATAAAGAAGAAAGAAGTTTAGAATAATAACTTTTCATCTGGGATATTAAACAAACATAAAATAATTTTTTAAATATTCAAATTTGTATTTTCTTATTTGTTGGAGTGGGTACAGAGTATTTCACTGTCGGCTTGCTCGACTGTAGCGTTCTTTCTTCTTTTTACCTTCATATTATTGGCGTAACACCTACGATACTGTTTATATTCCAATGGCTTACAAGACCAATAAAATCTTCATGGCCTATCCTTCTTATGGTTTTGAAGTAATTTTGAATCGATTATACGAGTATAATCAAAATAGCTCTGCTTCGAATTCCATGGGATTTTGCGAACAAGCACCAATTTGTAAACTTAAACACATACTGTCTTAAGAATTGTGTATATTTTTAGTCAAAATGTAATCCCATTCTGTAAAAAGTATGCATTTTAAGAAAATATGAACACACCTAAATAGTTATGACCATTCACCAATCTATACTATGGGCTTAATTCTCTCGACTGCCTTTGAAGGCCTATTATCAAAATTGTTTAATTACCCACAATTCCAACTAATTCGTAAAAGGTTATATACTATAGTACTTTACATTATACATTCCCGTTAACAAAATTAATAATAGAGACATATTATTGCATATTTTGATCTTCAATAGAAGTTTCGCAAGAAATGTCACCAACAGTGTGTAGTGGAACCATATAACTAATAAATACTGTAGTAAGTCGGCGTAACAATACTGCCATTATGTATAGTTTATAGAAAGTGGTTTTCGTCGTATTTCAGAAATGGCTGTCAGGCGAGCGGTTCGTATAATCGGCTTGAAGTAAACATTTACAAAAATCTTAACTCTTCCCAGCAGTGTTTTGGCCTGTTTTGGGTTTTCTTAGGTCTTGCCCTCTGCCTAGAAGTAGAAGCGTCGGATAACACTCGGGACCTGAGACAACATTCGCCAAACGATCGCCCAAAGCATCAGCGGCCCCACAATATGCACCGTCCCAAATATAATGGCTACGATTGGTACAATCAGTAAGTGGTAAAGAGGGGCTAGTCACAAATAGTTGAATACTTTCTCCCCTCACAGCTACAATATGACGGAGAACTCAGAATCCGATAAGCCAGAAGAGACTGAAAAAGGGACTAAAGAAGAGGCTGAAAAAGATTCTAGAAACGAGAATTCATCGGGTGAAAAAGATCAGTATCATGAGAAGCATACAGAAGAGTCTGCTGAAAACGATGATGAAAAAGATGATAAGGATGAGGAAGGTGAGGACAGTAATAATGCTGAAGCTAAAGACAGTAGTAATGCCGAAGCTGAAGACAATCGACGTAGCCGACATATACGTAAATCTCATGACTCTAGGCCTCACCGCCGTCAACCTTACAGACGTAGCCAACACCAGCGTAGATCTCATAGCCCTAGCTCTCACCGTCGTCAATCTCACAGTCGTAGCCGATCAGAACATAAATCTCATAGCCGTATCAAATTTCCAAAATACAGAAACCAATTAATTTGAGGCATGAAATAGTTCAGTTGCTTAAATAAAAGGTATAAATACATCTTATAAATGGCACACCAAAGATTTAGTTATAGTGTCGGTAACTTTGTTAGCTGTATGGTGAGGTAAAATTTCCGGAGATATCTTAGGAACACGTATAAAAAATTCTACAACATACTGGTATATTATCTTTCTTTCTTCCTGGCTTCCTGCTTTATGACATTTTCTACTACATTATTGTTATATTTATTTATTAACTATCATTCGATCCCCACTACCAATAGAGTGCGATTGCTGCTGCTATTTCCATCTGTTTGGAAAAGTCAGCAGAGCTGGCGTTGCATTATACAATTATTTCTGATTTGTATAGAAATTAGTTTAAAAACGCCTTTACTATCATGATGCCACTTCATGCTATTTTTTAATAAGTGTGCAAATTTGTAGAAGGTATCAGCAGCATGTTATCTAATATTTAAGTAAACACAATTGATGAATGTTTCTTTCTAGGGAATTCGTCTACTTTCTGAGAAAACGAATACTAAAAATCTTTTTGTCGTTTTAAGATTCGGAGGTGCAGAAAACTTCAGTATTTTTGTTCATAAATCTGTTCACATTTCGCGAATGTTAAACTTTAGACGAACTTCACGGAAGATACACCCTGGGCTCTAATAGATCAGGGGTACAGTTTTTAATTTCCCCAAAAAAGCGAGTTGACTTTGTAAACTTGTTTCGTTTTTCGTCTTTTCGAAAAGTTTGTGCAACTTGTTCAGCTATTTACGAACCAGCACAGCTCTAATAGAAATGTTTGCGCAATATCTACGAATATACTCGTATACCTTTTCGCTGATGAAATTATATAGATTCCATGAGGTTTAATGTTGTTGTTTATATCTGCCTCTATTGTATTAGACTTGAAGAAACATAGGAGCGACTTAAACATAGACTTCTGCTAACTGTTCACTTAATTACTGACTGGCTGTAAGACACAAAACTACAACATCAAGCTTGGAATTTGTTGCTGGGCTGCTGGGTGCGCTTTAGTTCTTCCACTTGTTGTTCTCGTAGTCCCATTTGGAGGACAAGCCGGTAATTGGGTTGACTTCCAGGTCAAGCATGCGCTTCAGCTGAGCCTTCTGGTGCTCCTCGTCGAAGGTGACGGGCAACTCATCGTAGACTGAAGGAAGACCCAGAGTTTAGAATTATAAATAATTTAATCCGACAGTTAGGGCTCACCGAACAGGTTCATCAGAATGGCAATCCAGATGGCGGCGCTTGTGAAGAGCAGACCAATGCCCAAATGCATTTTCCACTCGCCGGTGCCGGCCTGCACTTCGGCAATGGTTTGGCAGAAGCTGGCACGGTAGAGGGCCTTAATTTCCTGTGGGCTCAGCTTCTTCCAGTCGCCCTGCTCCTTGACGCGCAGCGCATTGATCTCATTGTTGGGCTCACGGAAGCGTATGGGGGGCAGGGGATAGTCCACGCGATCGGCATAGGAGGCGGTGCCGTTCCAGCCATAGCCAACGACCTCGCGTTTGCCAATCTTGTCCAATGTGTGGACGGAAGCGACGCTGCCGACTTGGGCGTTGCGTGGCAGCTGAGCAGCCAACTGGCGGCGCAGAGCGTGGTTGATTAGTCTGAGAGCCATGGTTACAATGCTGCAAATGCATTAAAAGATATCATTAGCATTATTTAATACAAGTAGGAGCAAGCGGGGGCTGCAGGTGTGACGCAGTAGGCGAGGTTATGTAACACTTGGTTCGCAATACGTGCGGCAATTAATCAATAAATGGCTAGTGGCTGACTTTATCAAACTATAATTATGGCTCTCTGGCATATTAAACAGCCTTCATTTGTTTGCTTTCGTATAATTCTGCAGTTTTTCATTGCCAATACGCCAATTCTTGTTGTGTAATCAAAAACACTCGGGTCCGCAATCTACGAATATTTATTTAAATGCGCAGGCGGCTGCTTGGACTGAAGGCGATTTATGTCACGTCGAGATATTCTCTAATTAACTTTATTTATGAATTACTTGTGGAAAATTATTAAATTATTTAGATTCTAAGCACTTTTGCTCATTTACCCACTTCTACTCGTTGCAAATAATGGCCGACTGTGGAACGCTGCCACATGGGTGTAGGGCCGGTGTTGCCACTTGCGAAAGAAAACCATATCGATGTACGATAGTTGCGCCCAGGGATGGCAAGTTAACATCGCATGGAGCACATCGCAGAACGTTTGAATTGTTTAGTTTCAACTGCCACTGTCGATGCACGTAGATTTAAATGAATTTACTAAAAATATTTAATTGCTATTCTTTATGATTTCAATGGCCAAAAATAAATTGTTATTTTTAAAACGTGACATAAAAATAAATAAATAATGGGTACTAATTTCCATTGCTTTGCTTGGGTTAAAAATGAAATAGTTTACTTAAATATTTTAAATAGTAAATAAAAGTAAATGAACAAAAATAAATAAGTAATAAATTATGTTGACTTATTATATATAATATAATTAATCATAAGTATTTAAAATTATTTTCGCTATTTTTCGTATAATTTAATAAAATTAAATGTTGAAGTTCTCTGGAATACACGGGCTAGCTGCACTCAAAACTGTAACTTCTAAATTCGTGTAGTGATGCACTTATGTACTTACTTGTGTATATATGCTGCTGCTGCATAAGCAAATTGCCGATAATCGTGATTATGGATGTAGTGGACCAAACAAATATATTGTTGACATTTGAAATTATATATAGAAGCGTCTTTGTTGTCTGGTCTAGTTATTTTTAATTGTATGACCGACTTTTCCAAATAACATCATGGGACCAGTTAATACCTATATTTTATTATAAATTATGTTGGAGGAAATAATGTACGGAATTTGACGATCTCACTTAGACATATTCGTTGTTCTTGTAATTAATTGATATAAAATTATAAGATCATTTAAAACTATCTTTAAGTACGTATCTATAGTACGTAGTAGCTGGTCATTATTTGTTATTTCCACACATATTTCCGTTTCGATATAAATTTATGAACAGGCGAAGGAAATACATATATAAACAACCTTCTCATTGTTCTACCCTCTATAGAAATTGTACAGTACCGTCTTAAAACTAAAATATATCATGTCTCCTAACATACTATATGTGTCATCATTTAGGCATCCATTTAGTAGAAATTGGCTTTATATCCTGACACTTTTTCTAAAACATTCGATCGGTGTACAAAGTATTTAAGTATTCCCTTAAGCGGACACTTCCCTTGGGCGGGTAAAAATTGACCGACCGTGAGTGTCCGGCCAAGAGAGTTTTCACTGTATAGTTTCCCTTGAAATATTGTAGAATGCGGTTTTTGTTGATTTTGAAATATTTTATTTTGATTTCATTTCATAAATTTACACATTTAAAATAGACGACACATAAATTGCATTATCCATATAGTTTAGTGTTAGTTTTTGTTGCTTTTGTTGCTGTTGCTGCAAATGCGATTTGGGTTAGGATCTGTGTAGTGAATTGTTCATTTAGCTATGTTTGAATATTCGTTTTGCTGGGATCCCTTCGGAATTACGTATTTGTTGCAATATTTTTGTATTATAAGCGCTGTATGGCATAAGTTGTTTAAATAGTGTTTTTTATAAATATGCAAATTGTATTTAATGTATGTATATAGCATGTATATAATAGATAATTATTTATGTGTATATGTTTGTAACAATATTTTGAATTATGCAAATAATTAAACTAAAGGGTGAAAGCTTTATCCTTTAAATGTACATTCATGTAAATTTGTAGTAGCAAAATCTTACAACTACCTGCATTCAGTTTAGATAATTTTCTGCATCTGGTTGGGTATAAAAAGTAGATACCGCCATCGAGGTTTTACTTAATGTAGGGGAGAAAGTGGCTTTTCTATATACAAAATGGTTTTTTCTTTTTAGCAATGTGTTAACATTTGATGTTACATTTTTGTTTTCCTTCATATATGTATGTATTTGGATAGGTTTTTCTTTTTGAGCGCCACCGGTTGCCAAAGCTGTGCAAATTTTGTGGTTCTTGTGACTGAGGACGTGGTTGACAATTTGCATTTTTAACAAGTGCGCTAAAAAGTGCAATTTACGACGCTACATTTGCAGTTTTTTATTGGATAGTGTTTTTGGGGCAAATGAAAACCTCTTAGAACTGCTTTTTGACTGGAAAGTAGTGCAAGAAATTTTATTTGTGCGGTTAGATTGTGAGGAGCTGGGAGAGTGATGTGGGCAGCAAGTTGGCAGCCCCGTAACGCTCAGTGTAACTGTAAAAATTTGGCATGTACGAAGTCAGTGAGTTGGGACTCTTGGGACTCTACTCGGCGCCAGCCGAGCTATCGGGCGTCACATTGGAGTCCAAGCTGGCGCAGTCCGATTCCTGATCCTGCGTTTCCGAATAGTTGGCAGCCTCCTGCAGGCGCATCAACATGTTTAGCTGCAAGCAAAGCACAGAGAATGGTCATTAGAGGTACATATATCCATAGATCTGAAAATGGGTGCCACCTACCAGAGGATCCTGTTGCTCGCCATTGCTTAAGGCGACGCCTTCAAGGCCCACATCCTCGGCATTTATTTGACGCAAAGGTGGCACCGAGTCCGGTCCATAGGGCCAGGGATACGAGTTGCGTATGAAGGCAGAGGGATCGTTCCAGGCGCCGCCACGACGTCCATAGAGCTGCACTCCCTCGCGCACCGCCTCGACTAGGTAGGGCGACAGATGATAGTTCCAGATGTCGGTGAACCACACCTGCGAGTCCTTCAAATCCAAGGGACACGACAGGAATAGACGCGGCCCAATAGTCACATCGCTCGAGCTGTGCACCTCCAAGAAGCGGTTGATGTGCTGCCAAACCGAAGGCAGCCAAGCCAACACGGCCGAGAGCTCGGGCTGGGGATGTCCGGTTTGCAGTTCCAGTTGGAAGAGACGCCGACGCAAGAAGCGACCGAGGAAGCCCTTTACCGGTTCCATGTGATTCGCAGTCAGCACCTGTGAAGTCCAATTGAGCAGATTAGTCAAGCCAGAGAAGGAAACTACGTTTGAGGCACTTACCCATCGGAAATTGTGATGCAGTTGAAGATTGGTGGTGTTGCAAGTGGCCTGCGACATGGTGCCAATAATACAGGGCAGCTTGGCAGCCGGTCCGGCGCTGAGCAGACAGGAGAAGACATCGCCTAGCGCCGAGGCATGATGCAAATTGTCCAAAATGATCACAGATGGCAGCTCCGAGACGCCATTGGCTATGGCCGCCTGCTCGGCAATATGGCCCAGATACTGACGCAAGTCCTTCGAGGATTTATGATCCACGCTGTTGGGTTAAAAAAGTGTAATTAATTATTTGAGAGTTGAGAAATTATGGCAAAGCTTTCTGAGAAATATAATACCCTAATAACCTTTAATTCGAACAAATTTATGCTTTTTTTAGGTTTTCAATAAAGAATTAAAGAGGGGTCTACTTAGGTCAATGAACAAAGGTTAGCTGCTCAGTAATGTTTGCTTTAATAGCTTAGCTATTTAACTCGATTTATATCATCCTGCTCTCTAAGCTTTAGAAAACTTAAATGGAACCCAACTTAACACTGAGCGAGTTGAAAAGTTCAACCAGAAATGTTTCATCAAATCAATTGTAGACCAACGAAAAGCTCCATTTTGAATAACAGGGCCTGTTTAGGTCTTTAGTCAAAGGTTGTCATATAAGGTCAGTCTTGTACTATATATTGATATGCTGTGTTTGTCTAAGTCTAATGAAACAAATTATAGGCTAACTTCTCCTGCTCTTCTTCTTCTTTCCCTCCTAAGGCAGTCTCAATAGGCTCTTTACTTATTTCTAACGTTCTTGGTTAATAATCAAGAATCGTCAGGCTATTTGAAGAAGTCGTTTTGTTCCCGAGTGGTTTCAAATATGTTTATGAAGACAGCTCCATCTTCTATGCTTCTTCCCGGCCACCTTTTTTCTTCGACCGTTCGACTTCTCTGCCTAGTTGCTATCACTTACTTGAACGTGGCGATGGCCTCCGATGGGTTACCGCGCCCTGCGCGTGCCACCAAGAACTCAGCCAGTCGGCGTGCCAGATACGATTTGCCCGTGCCGCTGGGACCGCACAAGATAAGTCGTCGATGCTCGGTTAGCAGACTAATGTAACGGTGCACAATGCTGCGTGGTATGAGGCTGTCAAAGGCCAGACTGCCTACACCCTGCAGGCAGATGTAGAGAGTCCGCACATTGCCAACAATATAGCCGCAGGGCAGCAGCTCGGGAAAGCCCATCTCTGGACCGCGTTTAGCCTCGCCCAAGTGGTACGAGGTAATGGAGTCTGTGTTGAGTCCCAAGTTGGTACCCGGATCGATGCGCGCCAGATAATCCTTGAACGTCTTGCGCACTATATAGTCCAGATTCTGCCAGGTGGTCTTGCCGGAAATGTAGGTGCAGGCAATGACATACTCATTGCAAGTGGCTGTGGGGTAGCTTTTGCGCTCGGCCTCCTGCTGACCGGCCGCCTCATGGCTGGCAATAATGGCGCTGTTGGCATAGAAGTCGTCTACCTCCAGCATTTCCTCGCAATACTTGACGAAGGACTCCGGCTGTCCCAGATAGCAGGCAATGGCAATTTTCTTGCCATCCGACACATCGGGCAGCTCCTCATGGGTGTTTGGGATGTGCGTTGGACTGCTCATGGTTGTGGATTCCAAGGCTGGTGGCGGTGGCGTCAAATCTATGTGCGTGCTGGGGCTGAGTGGGGCTCCGGATGGTGGTGGCTCTGGCGCTGGTGCCGGCGGTATATTCTCCTCCTCGACCTCTTCATTGAGACGCGATGGCAGCTCCATGGGTGGCCGAGCATTGCCATCAGCCAACGAGTAACGACGCGAGGCATCGCCGCCACTTATGGATCCATTCGGACTAATGGGCTGACCCAGACTGGCTTCGGAGCCGGCCAGCGAGCGACTGGTCACAAGTTTCTGCAGACGCTCGTTATTTTGCTTCAGCGACATCATTTCGGCTTTCATCTTGTTCATCATCTCCTTGAGAGTCTCCAGCTGGGAGGCGGAGCTGAGCGCTTCGAGGCGTATGTCTGTGAGTACCAGATCCTTCTCGCGCAACTGTTTCTTCAACTCCTCTACCTGCTGCTCCTCATGCTCGATGGCATCGATGGGTTTGGCATTGTCTATGAGCATCAGTGTCTTGGCCGGACTGCTTTGCTTGCTGGCCGAGCCACCCGTGTTGGCGCCACTGTTGGGTGGTGCCGGCTGTGTGGCCAAAGAGGCCAGCCCCAAATGCTCACCATGACCGTTGTGCAAGGTCTTCGTGGAGCCATGCTCGGCCTGCTGATGATGGTGATGATGATGGCCCACATGGCGACTAGTCTTCGATATTTTGGCATTGCGTGAGAAGGCTTTGGTGAAGGAGCTGCGCAGCCAGCCCTTCTTCTTCGCCTTGTTCTTGTCCTGGGCCGAACAGCTCGAGCTGATCGAGTTGAGGGAGCACATGGAGTCGGTGCTGTGCTGGCGTTGCATACCCACGCCATTCCCCAAGCCATTGCTGCCAGGCTGACGACCGTTGAGTGGCATCTGCGGTGGTTTCGCTGATCCAGCACCCCCACCACAGGCCCCAAGTCCTCCAGCATTCGCATTGGCACTGTTGAGCAGCTCGTTTTGACTCTGACCCTGAGTCTGAACACCCATGCTCTGCATGTGGGCTGTGGTTAGACCTGCTTGTATGGATTGCTTGCGCAACAGCTCGATGGTCTGTCGCATGTCCGTCAGCTCGCCATCCTTGCGTTCCGCTGTGGCTGTCAGTTGTTGTAGGCGATTCGTCATATTCGACAGCGATTGCTCGAAAGCGGACACCACATGTGCCTGCAAATGGAAAAGGAAATAACGAATTAGTAAGGCGTTTTCTTATGTTACGTAGAAAGAAGACATTTGCTCGTGAAGGTAAAGCCAAGCCACATAACGTTTGTACATTCTTTTGTGTAGGCGTTGGCTCTAGGGGAAACACTTCAGCCCAACATGGGGTAGAAGGGATCAGGGGGAGCCAAGCTGATAATAATAATCCATGATAGTGGGTGCCATATCTGGGACTTTACCTCAACCTGTTCACTGTTGCTGATACTTGTGGCATTTCTTTCTACTATTGTAATGACGGCTAAGACACACCAGAAGAGCTTGATCACCCATTAAGAAAGCACACTTTTGCGGTATAAATCATCCTATTTAGAGGCCGAATACAGTTAAGCACATCAGCAGTACAGTTTTATCATAAATTGTAAGTTATAGAACTCAAGACTCTGGATACATACAGAATATCGATGCGCTTTTAAACTCAATCACTTTTCAAATTAGTAAACAATACAGCCTAAGATCTGAAGGAACTAAGGACCTCAGATAAACAGTATCGTTAAATAATCAATGATTGACCTTTGAAATACAGATATAATTGTGAATCCTAAGAGATTCCAACCGGTCTTTCAAGCTTCAAAAAAGTCGTATTGTTTTCCTCTTTTTAAACTATTTGTATTATTCCCTAACAGTCAGTAGGTTGAGAAAAAGTTTAAATCAGTCAAGCTCTGCCAAACGAAATGTGTAGCTCGTGAAGAACTGGGCTTAGAGGGGAAAGAAATACACATTAATGTGTGCGTATAGAAATGTTTTTTCGGTTTATAAACCTTTTTCGTATGTTTCTCCTTCTTTTTCAATCCCTTTACCTTTCATTTCGTATATTTCTTTTTCTTTGTCAACTGCTTTCAATTCTTCTTCATTTGTGTGACTAAATCACTGACTAAGGCAATGGGAGTGCACTTAGTTTCTTGGCTAAGACGATGCCACGATTTATCATTATTGTTGTCAGACAACAGCTTAGACCTCGTCCCGCTCTGCCCTCTCACTGACCAGCTCTATCTACTCTCTCTCTCTCTCTCTCTCTCTCTCCGTCTCTCTCCTGTCTCCCTCGTGTACTATAGTGGCCCTGCGTGTTGTGCATTTAAAAACTGCGCCTGTTGACTTCTTCTGTTTAATATGCACGGCTGGTTGGCTGCATTTGGCAGTTGCCTCGTCGTTAACAACAATAACAACAAGTGAGTCATGGGCCTGGGTCGCCTGTTCTGCCCTGGCCTGGCCTGGCCTGTTCTGGTCTGGTCTGGCCCGGCCTGGCTACTAAGCCCGGCTTCGAAAAGTTTTGCACGCTCAGCGTTAAATACAAAAAGTTGACTCTCAGAGACCCCCAAAGCCAGACACCTGTGCCATAAACAAGCGTTAGAGCTGTGGGTCTGCGGCGTCCCTTCTGACTTGGCCAGTCGAACTATTCGGTCGCTTTTTACAAGTTTCTGGGAAGCCGCTGTAAGATATTTTTACAGTGCGACGTGACCGGCGTTTGTTTTTTTTTAGCTTTTCGCTTTTAGCTTTTTGTTTTTCTGGTCCGGCCAGTGAAGTCTGTGTGCGATGAGTGGGTGGTGAGGGCGAAATATGCTGCCATAAAGCATTTAGAAGCGTGTAAACGGGCAAGACCAACTGAATTAACTTAATGAGCGCTGTTAGAGCGAACGGCAATGACAAAGCGCGGAAGTTGTAATTACAAATTGCCAGCGAACGTGATGGAACGAGGCAGACAGAAGCAAGACTCGACCATGAACTATGCTGCAATCAGTTGGAAGTAATGCAATAAAAACTCAATTAAAAATGCAGTTAATCATGAATTCATAAATACCTATTATGGAGTATGCAACTAATTGGCAGCAACATGTCAAAGAAACTATGCCAGCGCCTAGCAATCGGGTTTATTTTAAGCATTTCAGATCTAATTACTTAGAGGCTGCAAAGTTGCATTGTGTTTGGAAAAGCGATAAAACATTACTTGAATTATTCATATTCTTTGCTAAACTTGCAAGTGTGGTTTTAAGTTTAAGTCTAGTGTCAAAATATCTTAACTGGATTTCTTTCTATATCCCCAAGCTCTATTTTAAATAAATGGTACTTTGAACAAAATAAAAGGAATGTTGCATTCAAAGACCTCTATCTAGGATCAGGATAAGCTACTATCACTCCTCCTAGCTCGGTATATCGTAAGGTTCTTTTTAGCTTTCTCTTGTAACCATAACTCAAATACCTATTTAAAAAAAGATCCAAAAGTTACAATGTTACAATGTAAGTCCAATTCAAAAGTCAATTATAATATTTAATTATTTCAATGTGTATTGCAATCAGGAGACACACATGAAGCGTAATATTTTCTAAATTTAAGTTAAATTATTTGTTTTGTCTTGTCTGATTCAAAAGTGAATGTTTTTTATCGCTTCTAACGTTCTTTAAAACAATTTTAAATCATTTCGGTTACTATTTTCTGTAATATTTGGATTCAATTAAGTTTTGGAGTTTATTTAAAATATGTTATCTATTTTTCTTAAAACGCCTTCGGCTTTTTTTCTCAGAAGCTGCTTCGCTTTGAAAACTAAAAGCTTAGCGATGTACTTATTTTTTACTCAATAATTAAGGCAGCGTTTAATTAAACGGCATTAGCATTGGCATGCGGGGGCACTCGCTTTAGCAATGATATCATCGTCGATAGCGGTGTTAGTTACAACTATTAGAGACAATATTAACAAGAAGCCAAGTCAGCAAAACAGGCAGCCATCATAGAACGTACTTGGAAGCCGCCTGGCTTCTCTGTAATTTGTTTATGCATTTGATTGTTTATAAACAAAGTGAGCTGCTTGCTACAACGATAAGAATCTAGCACGTTTCGCAATTTAATTTTATGCAAAATTATGCAAAGTCTTCGCTAAATGGCACGCTTTTCAAGACTGCCGCGCCGCGCACTTGTTAAATGGAAATCAGTGAAGCGAGAGTTGTTTTTTTTTTGTATATACGAGTATTAGGTATAGTGGTATATATATAGTATACGGGTAAATATTACTCGTAATTTGTTCTTTTTGGTTTTTTGCTGTCTCAAGCTTTTCTGGTCGGTCACAAAGTTCAAGGTCAGCTAGTTTAATTACTAGCTGTGATTTTTTTCTGAAGTGGTTTACTTTTTGCCTCTATTATAGTGGCTTTAATGGTACCTGCTAGCCATATAGGGTTTGTTTAATTGTTGGCTAAATTGCTGCTTGTAAACGAACAAATGCTGTTAATTTGAAGTGCCTTGTATGGTGGGGTCGGCGTATTATGGAAAATCTTATCTTTAATGTCATGCAGTTGTTGGCTTATCTGTGGGGGCGCCTTTTGTCACGTTACTCATACGCACCGTAATCAATTTTATGCTCAGCGGCTTACGTGAGTCGACGCACAAATGGTGCGGCAGAGCTGGGCGAAAGGTCGGCAAAGGGTTATGGCTCCATGGCTCCATGGGTGGTGGCACCAACAACAACAACAACAACGATAGCAAACAATACGTGGCTTTTTAATTTGCCACCAAATGTGTGTGGCAGTGAGTGTGAAAGGATGTTAGGAGGTGTGCCGTTGGCACGTTCACGCAAAGTGCACAAAATATTATTTAATTAGTCTGGCTGTTGTTGCTCCTCTGGGGCTTGTAGAGAAGTAAGAACTTTAATATGATGCGAACCATTTCAAAATTTAAATGATAATTGAAGGAACAGAAAAGGTATTTAATAGTAAGTTGGCACGTTAGTAAAAACTCGACTTCTAGGGAAAGTTTCACAAATATTTCACAATATTCCAAAGATATGCATCAGTTTTTATCAAAAGAGAAAAGTAAACACAAAAAGCTTATTTACATAACAAATACGTTGAAGAAAAGTTTCTCTACAGCTGTTGTTGAGGAAGAAAAATTAAATAATTCTAAATATATGTATAATTTAAAATGAAAGATTATTATTATATGATAATTCATATGAGTGTTGTTTTCGCAAATGAATGATATTTAAGAAAAAAAAAATGTTAGGTTTAATTTTGTTATTTTTTCACGAAACTTAAATATAGTTCAAAGTTTAATGGAGAGTAGAAATAGGTTCTAAACACACCCAATTAAGGCTTACATAAGAAATGAGTATGATATCATGCCAGTCCAACACTTGGATACTCTGTACACACCTTTTCTACGCTAGAGCCTTTTTAATAAATTTTACTTTGTTTTACAAATTATATCAAGACAGCTGTATGAAATTGTTCCCCGATATTCAAATTATTTCAATACTATGATTAAACTTAAATAACAAACAAAATAGTACCTCAAATAATTTCAATATGCAACATAATCTTCAACTATTAAATTTAATCTTCAATTCTTTAATATGTTAAAGGACATTTTTTATGCATGGCATGGCATTTGTAATCACAAAGAATTCAATATTCAACAATTTTCAAAACTATTCTGCTGCTACAAACATTCATCAATTATTACTAAAATCAAACTTTGTTTTGATGGTGAAAGAAATACATCAAATTTGGTATCAAAACAACAATCTAAGTGTTGTGAATACAGAAATATATTCGAGTATACGAGTATATTGCATTAAAATGCCGAAAACGTAGAAATCAACTTTATGGCCAAACAATAAACATGCATCAGATAAGAGTTTTGACAAGGAGCCATAAAAAGTAGCAACTTTTGAGCAACAAACTAATACCTGGTTGAGACCACTGGCCATAACTTCAAAGACATAAGGCGAAGTTGCGATATATGAATAGGAAAAGGTCTTAACTTTTAACTTTTTTTTTATTGAATATAGTCTTGTAGTCTGATATAACAAATCTTTCACAATGCTGTTCCCCCATAATCTAAAAGGGCAATAGTTTTTTAAGATAAAACCATCAACTGACAGAAAAAACTGTAATTCTCAAGTCCGTCGGATGAGTCATCGCAGCTAGCATGCTGTGGAGCAACTTAATGACTGCGATAACTCCAA